ACTTTTTGGTGAACCTGCCATCTCTCTCTCGAACAAAGTGGTAGAGAAGGATTCAATTTCGCCTTTCTCCGATGGGTTTTCTTTTTCCGGTGGGGAGAAATGAGAAGCTGAAGATTGGGATGATCGAAGGTGAGGGAGAGGGATGGAGTATGTACTGCGAGGTGACCGGGAGATCCGGTTGCCAGACTAGAAGACAATTGGATACCATCTAATTAAGGTTGCTTGTTTGTGGACGTTGACTCCACCTAATTTCAACTGTGACCCGTAAATTCTAATTTCTTTTTTAAACACTTTTTTTTTTTTTAATGCCTATACCCTTTTTAGTTTTATGTCCGTATAGTTTTGTTTCATCACAAATCGACCGGTAATCTATCCTTTTATCACTTTTGATTAGTTAGTCATTTTGATCTGCCAGAGCGTCTTGTCTTTGAGGAAAAAGGTAAAATAATTTGAGAAAGACACCTCACAAATTCTTAGATTTTGAAGATTTTAGACCATAACGAGTAGGATAGGAGGTAAGGAGTCGATACAACTTCATGATTCTGGGAGATTTTGACAATAAGAGCGACGTTAGGGCTCAAGGTAAGTGCATGAGTGAGTAATTCTCGAAGAACAAAACCACTTCACCAATGTTATTGAATTAAAAATGTTTAAGCGTCTCTTTTTTCTTAGGCTACTATAATATAACTTTGGTTATATTATAAGTATTATTTATTTATTTTTAACCGTATTTATTTAGTCTATAAACTAAAGTTTATATTTTATATTTTTTTAACTCATTTATCTACTCAGACCTAAAATTAAAAACTCTTAAATATATATATATATAATAATTGTTTTTGGGCCCACTTTATCTATTTATGATCTGGGCTAAACTCACAAGGCGAGTTGGGCTTTTCTGTGTGCATTCCAACCCATCACTCACACTAGCAATTGCCAAATGGCACCCAATTAATATGTTTTTTTTTTCTTGAAAACAATTAAATAAATAAAAGTAATAATAAATATTTGAATATCTACTCTGATAGGTTAAATTTGAAAAAATAAAAAATTAATAAATAAGTTGAAAATTAGAATTATCATATTATAAAAAAGATAATATTAATAAAGGAAAGACATATTTTGGATAAAAACAATATTCTGACATATTATTGAATGCATGCACCAACCAAAACATAGATTGAATAAATTTAATCTTGAAAATTAGTGTTGGAATTTCTAAAAGATAAAAAAAAGAGGAACATTCTCCCAACAAAAGAATTGCACTTGAAATACCAATATTGACCCTCGTTTAACACAAGGGTTGTTTGGAATACGTAACAAATACTTGGTTAATTTCGACATTAAAGGACTACATCCTTATCCATTCATATATCAAGCATAGTTAAACTTGTTGACTTTAATTTTTTTTTTTTAACACGATTTTATTTCTATTTTCTTCCTTAAAATAAGACCATATTCAAATATTTATTGTCAATAAATATATATTTTAATTAAAAAACAATTAAGACTACATGTGAATTAACTTGAAATAAAAATATTTTTTAAATTCATTAAAACTAAAATTATATTATAACGTGAAAGCTGCAACAAATAAGTTCGTGTTAGGACCACGCTAAACCATATTATTTATTTGTTTATTAGAAAATTTTAAAATCACGTGAGTTCAATAAATAGTCGTATATTAATATAGATACTATATTCTTATTCTTCATTAGTATATTCAAAACATTATATTACGTTTTTTTTAGCAAAAACAATTAAACAAATTAATAAGCTACCAATGTCTCTTTCTTTCCACCGTGAAGTGTACGAGATGAATGCACGTTCGGGTGAGTGCATTCGATTCTAAAGTCCGTTCCTAAACCACTACCAATCGAAAGTAAATATAATTTTAAAAGGGTTTAAAATAAATTAAGATTTATTAGAGTGGTAAGTAACAAAAAAAATATATATTTAATTAAAAATATATAAAATGGAAAAAGCATGGCAGTGCGTGCGAAAGAGCATAGTGTTTGGGAGTTTGGAATCTCAATGGAAAGAGAGAGAGATAAAGAGAGCTCTTTTTATTATTCATTATTCATTATTTATTATTTATTTAATTTATATATATATATATTTTTATTTTGGGGGCACACCCATAGACCTTCATCATTCACTTCCCCGCACGCCTTCCACTCCGCTTAAAATAAAAATAAATAAATAAATAAATAAAAATTAATGGGCAGATTCCTGTTTCCAATATCCTATTTATTTCCTCTAACCAATGTCAGCACATAATTAATTATATTTCAACACCAATGTCCCCAACGCTTATTATTTTCATCTGTCACACCCATTCTTATATATATATATATATATATATATATATATATATATATATATATATATATATATTTAATTCATATAACTTTATTCCATTTTTTTAATTTTACTATAAAATAAATAATCTGATGATTTGGCTTCAAGTATATATGTTCATACATTAACATTTCCAAATAAATAACCAAATCAAGTTAATATATCCTAAATCAACTGCTTTTTTTAAATTATTATTTAACAAATTCAAGAACCAATAATAGACAATACGACTGAAAATAAATAAATAAATATAACGACATATTTTAAATATTATCCCTGCCCCCTTCCCAAAATATAATAATAATAAAAAACATTTACCCAATTAATATAACAAAAAAAAAAAGAATTATTGGCCGACGCTGAATTTCCATTTAAATTTTAGAAATTTAAAGCGAAATAATTATATAAATAAATAAATAAAAATACTAACTCTATTAATATATTTAATTAACTAAACAGTAATCATTTATAGTGAAATTAAATGCAACTTTATTTTTTATTTTTCGTTGTTGGGGACAAAGTAATTATTAATAATCAATTTATTGTACAATATTAGGGACATAAACACTCCCCCTGCCCTTTTTTGTCCTAAAAATACCATTTTTTTTTAATTATATGACTAATTGAGCGATATTTATATTACCGATTAACGATATAAGTTGAATGTATGGACGTGTTTTAATTAATATAAATTTGATTTGTAGGGTACGTCTTAGCTAGCTAGCTATCAAAATAAACGGCCCGACTTTTTTGCTCTCATTTTATAATCACGTTGTTTGGCATAAACCCATATAGAGTGGATCGACAAACTTGATTAGTTATAATTAAAATTGGTTGGAGAAAAAGGAGTGTGAAATCATGAAAGTCGATATGAAAAATTATTAGTTCTTTGTTTCTTTCTTTTGACATTTTAAAGTTGTTTGGTTGGCGAAAAGATGCCACTCTAAAACTAACGTTCAACTTCTTGTACCCCTGTATTTATTGTACTGAAAAATGATTTATTATAGTCGATAATGTATTTCGGCACTAACCTTCTACACTTTTTGTTTGTTCGTGTCTACTAAGATAGCATCAATATACGTCTTCGTGATTTCAAATAATATCACATGAAAGCTAACAAATGGTTTTGATACAAGTCGTACAGTTGTGCATATTAACAAAAGTTGACACAACGTCTCGTCAATTTTGATTCAGTATCATACGCACAAACTTTTTCCAGTTGTTGTTGAATTGGGTAATTGTGAGATTATGTGATGTCCCACGTTGGTTGGGGAGGAGAACAAATCACCCGATATAAGCGTGTGGAAGCCTTCCCCTAGAAGACGCGTTTTAAAGCCTTAAGGGGAAGTCTGAAAGGGAAAGCCCAAAGAGGACAATATCTGCTAGCGGTGGATTTGGGTCGCGTTAGCGGTGGACCTGGGTCGTTATAGATTCCCACATGGGTTAAAGATGAGAACGAAATATTCTTTGTAAGGGTGTGGAAATTTCTCCCTAGTAGGCATGTTTTAAAGCTGTGAGGTTGATGATGATAGGTAAAAGGCCAAAACGGACAATATTTGTTAATGGTAGGCAGAGGTACTTAACCTACACGAAAACACATCGAACTAAATGGGTTTTTGTTGATACATATCGTAGCACGATCGATGAATGTAGAACGTGACGTGATTGATTGGAAGGGAAATAGAGGGGGCGATGGAATTAGGGTTAAGTCCAATGAGATTGGAGAGAAATAGAAGAGGCCAAAGTAGAGAATGAATAATTTAGGGTCCACATGATGGGTATCACTTCTTCTCATGCATTTGTCCTTCTTCACCATTTCAATATCCATTTAGTTTCACACATTCCCTTGTGTTTTTAGTGCCTACATTCACTCCCTTCTCTCTTTCCTATATGCATGTTTTCTTTCTTTCTTTCCTATATTTTAACTTCGTCTCCCTCCCTTGAACGTTCATCGAGTCGATCATAATCAGGTTTAGGACTTGCCCTATTACGATTGACACTATTGACCAAACTTTGCACTGAAAATCAATGGTGGGTACTCACAATATTTGCTAAAACCACCGTACTTTGAAAATTCTCTACTACAAATATATGAAAAGACTAATAAATGGAAATATCCTGATATTTACTTATAATAAAATGGTAAATCATAATTTAGTACTAAATATCTGGGTATAACAATTGTTTTAAGACCAGACATAGCATAGCGATAGTGAGATACCCATATACGAAACTAGTGCTTGTGAGATACATTTTACGGTATTGAGATTTTGGTAAAAGGGTCATGAATAAACTACAAGGATATAGGGCAGGAAGGGTCGTTGTACTCTACGACACGTGTGGAATCGTAACGTATATGAATAAAAGGACATAGATACACAAAATGGTATTGGTTTAATACTAAAGATATAAAAAGAAGAAGAAAAGGTATAGAAAAAGCTCTGCCCAAACAGAGCCTAAAAGAAACCCCACCTTCCAACAAAACTCTGTTTTTTTTTAAATTTTGTGATTAACAAATACGATAGAGCCATACGCTAAGCTCATATAGCATATCAAATTCAAAACTATTATCCTCCAAAAACCCAAATCCAAACACACTTGAAAACAAAAGGCAAAAAAACAAACCCATTTGATTGTTTTTAAAATACCCAAAAGAAAAAGGGGGAAAAGTTGAAGAACTCCCACGCTCTGTTCTCTTGCTTTGAGGACTGCAGCAAGTGCAACAAGCCTGCTCGCAATTCTCAAAGCTGAATTAAAATTCTTCGTTTTCTACTTTTTGCCTTTTTTTACTGTTTATTGCCTTAAGATTCACCATTCCCATAAACCAAAACACATGCCCTCTCACTTCATCGTCTTCTTCTACTCAGCTTCCTCTGTTTTTCTCCTGTGAGTGATCCATAGCCATTTTCTTCATCTGGGTCAGCTCAGAATCAACAGAACAAGAACAAGATGATTAGCCTTTTAGATTTTTATCATGTAATGACCGCAGTGGTTCCTCTCTATGTGGCCATGATTTTGGCTTATGGGTCTGTGAAATGGTGGAAGATCTTCACGCCTGATCAGTGCTCTGGAATCAATCGTTTTGTTGCTCTGTTTGCAGTGCCTCTTCTGTCTTTTCATTTCATCTCCACGAACAATCCCTATGCCATGAACTTGCGGTTTATTGCTGCTGATACTCTCCAAAAACTCATTGTTCTTGCTGTTCTTGCGGTTTGGAGCAATATAAGCAAAAGGGGTTGTTTAGAATGGACGATTACTCTGTTTTCCCTGTCGACTCTGCCCAATACTTTGGTTATGGGGATTCCTCTGCTTAAAGGGATGTATGGAGATTTCTCAGGGAGCTTGATGGTTCAGATTGTTGTACTTCAGTGCATTATTTGGTACACATTGATGCTGTTCATGTTTGAGTATCGAGGAGCTAGAATGCTGATTTCTGAGCAGTTTCCAGACACTGCTGGCTCTATAGTATCAATCCATGTTGATTCCGACATTATGTCGTTGGATGGAAGGCAAGTTTTGGAAACGGAAGCTGAGATTAAAGAAGATGGGAAGCTCCATGTGACTGTGAGGAAATCAAATGCCTCAAGATCAGATATCTTCTCGAGAAGATCTGTGGGATTGTCTTCTACAACTCCGAGGCCTTCAAATTTGACCAATGCAGAGATTTACTCTCTGCAATCTTCTCGGAATCCAACTCCCAGAGGCTCAAGTTTTAACCACACTGATTTTTACTCTATGATGGCTGCCGGTGGAAGAAACTCCAACTTTGGCTCTTCTGATGTTTATGGCCTTTCGGCATCGAGAGGGCCGACACCTAGGCCGTCCAATTACGAGGAGGAAGGCGGCGGCGGCGGGGGCGGTGGCAACAACGGCGGAAAGCCGAGGTTTCATTACAATGCCACAACAGGGGGCACTGTTAATGCTAATGCTAATGCAAATCATTACCCTGCTCCAAACCCAGGAATGTTTTCACCAACAGGATCCAAAAACGCACAACCCAATGCCAAGAAGCCTGCCAATGGGGCTGTAGCTCAGCCGAAAACCGAGGATGGAAGCAGAGATTTGCATATGTTTGTGTGGAGTTCGAGTGCTTCCCCTGTTTCTGATGTGTTTGGAAACCATGAATTTGGGGCTCATAATGATCAGAAGGATGTAAGATTGGCTGTTTCTCCTGGAAAAGGTAAGTTTCATTAATGGATTAGATTTTCCTTTTCGTTTTTCATCCGTTTTTGTTAATGGGATTCATTTTTCAGTGGAGGGTCGTAGAGAAAACCAAGAAGAGTATGCAGAGAGGGAAGATTTCAGCTTTGGAAACAGAGAGATTATGAACAGTAACAACAACAATGGCGGAGCTGAGAAAGTCGGCGATGTTAAACCCAAAACCATGCCACCCACCAGTGTCATGACAAGGCTCATCTTGATCATGGTTTGGAGAAAGCTCATCAGAAACCCCAACACTTACTCCAGTTTGATCGGCCTCACTTGGTCCTTAGTTTCATTCAGGTTCATCTCTTCTTCAAAATCCCATATGGGTTTTAATTTAAGCTCTGTTTCTGATTATATTTTTTCATCATTTAAGGTGGAACGTTGAAATGCCAGCCATTGTTGCAAAATCAATATCTATACTATCAGATGCAGGGCTTGGAATGGCCATGTTTAGTCTCGGTAAAGCTCTTAACATCCATTTGTTTTCCTTCTTTATTTGCTCTGTTTTTCAAAATAAAGCATAAAACAGAGCTGTTTCTGTCTCTGTTCTTCATCACTTTTCTGGCTGCGATATTGGATTTGATTCAAATGGGTTGGCGGTGATGGTGGTGGTGATGATGACGAAAGTTGCTTTAAGAGCAATAAAAAAAGGGAAAGAGAAAGCGTGCTAATAGCTAAAATGGTGTGCTTTTTGCAGGGTTGTTCATGGCTTTGCAACCAAGAATCATAGCATGTGGGAATAGCATAGCAGCCTTTTCCATGGCCGTGAGATTCCTTACAGGACCAGCTGTTATGGCTGTTGCTTCCATTGCTGTTGGCCTTAGAGGAGTTCTCTTACGTGTTGCCATTGTCCAGGTCTCTCCTTCTCTCTCCTCTGCTATTTTCTCTGACATAGCCTTCTTCTTCTTCACTTCATATACTCCAAAAAAGTAGTGCCCTTTCAAATGGGTATTGAAAAAGATCGTTGCTTTTTGGAGTTCCTTTCTTGTTCATGGTAACATTATAAGAAGCAAACAAGAACGGAAGCAGTGAAATGAACAAAACTTGTGTAATTAAGGACCTGTTTGGTGATCTGTTAGGAAACAAACATCTGTCCCTCTGTTTAACATGTTGTTTTCCTTCTCTTTTTTGGAACAACAGGCAGCTCTCCCACAAGGAATTGTCCCCTTCGTGTTTGCCAAAGAGTACAACGTACACCCCGACATTCTCAGCACCGGGTATGTATACTCTCATTTATCTTTCATAATCGTTTCAAATCTACTGTTAGTGATAATAATTCTCAGGATTGTTCGTGGGTTTGCAGGGTTATCTTTGGGATGTTGATTGCTTTACCGATCACGCTTGTTTACTACATATTGCTGGGGATTTGAAGGGTTTGGTCAGGCATGGCTGCGGCCGCCATGAGAGGCCATTTCAAAAAGCTTCAAAGCTTTGGGAGAGAAGTCAAAAGGAGGAGAAAAGAGGAGAGATTGAGGGAATTGGGATGAATGAATCTTCTTTGCAAGTAGAAGGAAAAGGAGGATGAAAAAAAAAAAAAAAAAAAAAAAA